AGCCTCCGGGCCGCTCCCGCCCCCGGCGCCGCGCGCTTTCCCCCACCCGGACTCCCCCATGTATGACGACTCCTACGTGCCCGGGTTTGAGGACTCGGAGGCGGTGAGTGCCCCGGGAGGGTGGGGGTGGGGGAGTGGGGGGTGACACCTCCTCTCCCTTCAACCCTTCCCCCAGTTCAGGACTTTGAAAAAAAACGCCTCCGTGGCTGGACTGGACGCGTAGGGGGGCGCTCTAGGAAAGGGCTCCCCATTGCCCGGGACCTGGACTCCGGCTGGGGTGTGTGTCCCGAGGAGGCAGTGTTGGGGGAAGGCTCGAGCAGGTGGCCCCGGAGCCCCAGGACAAAAGGGGCAGTGGGAGGAAGGGTTGGAGGCTGTGGAGAAGGAACACTGTGTGGAGGTCCAAATTCTGGGTTTTGGGGTCTGAACACAACAGTTGGAGAGAAACTGGCACATTCCGGACCTGTACCTCAAGTAAACGACGAATTGGGGAGCTAGGAGAACATCGGAGTAATGTAGTAGCTTCTTCAGAGTCATAAAACTTGAGCCCCTTATTCCTTTTTCCCCCTCTATCTCGGCATAGTGCCTTGTTCCTCGCCCTCTCTCTAGCCCAGTTTCTCCCCCAGCTAAAACCTGGGCACCCAGCACATGAGTGGGCCATCCATTCCCCAGCCTCCTGCCAAGCCTTCCTCAAAGCAGTGGGAGTCCTGAGCTGCTCAGCATGGAGGGCCTGGAGGTGAGGCCAGAGAAGCTGAGGGCTTGGGGATGGAGAGGAAGCTATTTGCTCAGAGAACCAGGCAACCGATAAATATTTAATTCTCCTCTTTGCTTTTATCTCCTGACCCACTGAGACAAATCAGCTCATTAGGCAGTGATTCCAGGAGCTCAGAGAGAAGGGAGAATGCCTGGAAAGATGGGGAGCAGCCCCTTGGAGCTGCCCTCCCTCAGACATCCCCCCAAGAAGGCCTTCTAAGGAGAAAACCAATAGATGGCTTGGAAGGGCCCTGCCAGGTGTGGAGGGTGTGTGTGTGGGGTCCAGAGTACCATGGGGTGGAGTCTTCTCCCTTCTCTGGGCTACAGGAGTGCTAGGGTGTAGAACACACAGCTGTCAGTCCTTTTCAGGGACTGGACTCCTGGGCCCCATTTTCCAAGGGGCCTCTGGGGCTAATTACATTGCCTCTAGAGCAGATGACTTTCAAGGCTCTGGTGGACACCTCTTTCTGACAGTTGAAGGGACAGCTGGCCTAGCCCAGGGTGCCAAGGTGAGCTTGAGAATGAGCCTCTCTGTGGGGTTGCAGGGCCCTAGGAGGTTCTTCCTGTCCCTGGTGAGAAGGCAAGGGCTGTTGCAAGAAGGATAACACGTGGATGGGTTTGAGGGTAGTCTGCTGACCCATTGCTCCCTCCCTGTCCCTCTCTGGTTCCTGGAGTCACCCTCCCCCACTTCTCTTCCTCTTGCCTGGCTCCTTGCTCTCCCAGAGGCCCCCTCTGAAGCAGTAGGAGGGAGATCAGGCTCTAAATAAATCCACCGGCTCATCTCCCTCCTCTCCTTCCCCTGTGCCAGGCGAGAGAGGAGCTGCAGCCTGCCCACACACTCACCAGGCAAGAGGGGCACCACCAGGGCACTATGCCAACTCTGGCAGCTCCCAAGTACTGAGCCTCTGGCTGTTTTGGCGTAGCAGGGGAAGGGGAGGTAAGACCCCAGCATGTACTTGCCAGGGCAGCCCTGACCTCGAGTGATAACAGAACACAAGCCACGGGTGAGCCCTGAGGACTTGGGAATCATAGAAAGGGGGTTCCATTTCCAGCACAACTCATTAAGTATTGAAGGAGAGATTCTGTCATTCCCTTCCCGGGATGAGAGGCCAGCTAACCCAAACAGCCCAGGCAGGGGCATGAACATCACTAAATTAGGCTGAGCATATGGAGAACAGGGAGCACCACGCTGGGCATCTAGAAGGTATCTGATGTACATAGAGTGAGTGGTTATCTGCCTTGCTGCTTATCTCCAGCCTTGTTGGCCTCTACCTACTCAGCCACCCATATCCCACAGAGATAGCTCTTGTGTCCTAGGAACCCTAGGAAGGAGGTTCCCTCACCCTGTGCAGAGGTTCTTTCTGGGGCTCAGTCTCTCTTTGTCCTCAAGGGAGCCTCATTTTGTTCTCAGGAGAGATGGAGAGCCGCAGGCCGGTGCTCCTGGTGTAAAGTGCAAGCTTTCCCCTGTGCTAACCCCGTGCCTTTGGCCTACTGCAGACCTTGTCTTTAGCTTAGGCTGGGGGCCTGGGTTGACACTCAGCTGAGCAGCCCTCTTGCCCAGGGCAGGAGGGCATAGTGAGCATGGTGGACAGCAGGTGTGTGACTTTACCTTCTCTACTAAGTCTGGTCTCTGTTGTCCTCTGTAAGTAGTCATACACGCTGAACTTGAGGAAAGTTCCTCAGCCTGAGAACATCCTACAGCCTCTTCCTCTACACACACTCCTTTACACACACTCCTGCCTTCTCTCTGCCGCTGACATCTCAGAATTGAGAGAAGTGGCCCTTCGGGCTTCTTCCTATAAAGAGGGGGAATGTAAGGCAGAAAACAAGATTCCCCTTTCCCTTAACTGTGGGAGAAACTCAGACATCCTAACTTCCAGCCACTTGTCTTAAAGCCCAGCTTCCATTACGGGTTTGGGCATCTCTCGTGTGGCCTTGAAGTTTAACTCTGTACCTCTTCAAATGTACCTTCATCCCCCAGACACCCTTCCTACAGGCAGGACTCGCAGGTGCTTGCTCACCTTGCCGGAAACCCCCTCCCCACGTCCTTAGGGTCCTGTACCTCTGCTAGGTTGCCTGGCACCGGCATGGCTTTCCTCCAGGGCCTGATCTCCCCCGGGCCTATGGAAAGGCATGGGGAGATGTAGGCCGAATGGGAGGCGTGGCCCAGCCTCACCTGTGCCAGGATGACAGCTTTGTGTTGCCCTCACGGTCTGTGTCTTTATTTGCTGCTCCCATCTGGCCACTTGCCCTAGCAGAGTGGTAAGGAGAAAAGTATGGGTTGGGGAGGGTAAAAGAGTGGGGTAACTTCCAGGAATTGGCAGCTCTGGGCACAGGCTTCATCCTGAAAAGACAAGGACTCACCATTTGGGAGACTTCAAATAGGGGTAGGAAAAGTGGGACCTGAATAGGAAGGTGGTGCCTATATCCTGACACTCAGAACCAACCAGTATCTGTTTTGTTTTGTTTTGAGACAGGGTCTTACTATGTAGTTCAGGCCGTCCCTATGACCCAAGCTAGTGTGAAACCTGAGGCAATCCTTCTGCCTCAGCCTCCCAAGTACTAGAATTATAGGAATGCACCACTACACCTGGCTCATTGCTGCAATTTTGCCAGACATAATAAAGGGATAATGTCCAGGCTGCTTTGCAGGCTGGTGTGAACAAGAGAGCCAGTTCTTCTAGAATTTCCAATATATCATCTTCAGTATATCTCCTTTCCCTCTACCTCAGAAGAAGCCGGGTGTGGTGGCACACAACTGTAATCCCAGCACTCAGGAGGCTGAGGCAGGAGGATCGCTGTGAGTTCGAGACCAGCCTGGGCTACATAGTGAGTTCCAGGTCAGTCTCAACTATATATTGAGACCCTGTCTCAAAAAAATTTTTAAAAAAGAAGAAGACATGGTAGAGGGGAGAAAAGGGGGTAAAGAGAAGTTGGGCCAAGAATGTAGATCAGTGACACTGCACCTGCTTAGCAAGCACAAGCCTGAGTTCAATTCCTTGTATCAAAAAAAAAAAAAAAAAAAAAAAGGAAAGAAGTAAAAGCTCTGCCCACTGGATGTGGTCATGCACACCTGTAATCCTAGCATTCAAGAGGCTGAGGCAGAAGGATCACAGTGAGTTTGAGGCCAGCCTCGGCTACATAACGAGATCCTGTCTCAAACAAACAAAGCAAAGTAAAAGCTCTGTTCAAGCTGCAGTATTAATGGGGTTGAGGATAGAACAGGAACCTGATCTTCATGCGTATGGATTGTACCAGCTTCTCTGCACCTTAGGGATACTGGAGCCCTTTTCAGGGAATGGGGGAGCATAGGAGTCCAACTTCCCCCTAGAAGATATAGAAGCCAGAAGTGACAGAGACACCAGCGTGGGGCTAGGAGGACGCCCCTATGGTGTCACACACCTGATCCCAGGAGTCACAGCTTCTCTCTGGTCCCAGGGTTCAGCCGACTCCTACACCAGCCGCCCATCTCTGGACTCGGACGTCTCCCTGGAGGAGGACCGGGAGAGTGCCCGGCGTGAGGTGGAGAGCCAGGCTCAGCAGCAGCTCGAGAGGGCCAAGGTATATCTTCTGGGTGGGCAGGTGGCCCTTGAATGCAGAAGAGTTTGTGTACTGGGCAGAGGCTCTGGATGACACCAGACTCCCACTGTGGCCTCTGCCTTCCCAGCGGGTGCCAAGGTGGAGAAAGGGGTCCTGAGGTGCTTCTCACTTACACTGATTGCCAAATTCTCCAGCACAAACCTGTGGCATTTGCTGTGAGGACCAATGTCAGCTACTGTGGCGTACTGGATGAGGAGTGCCCAGTCCAGGGCTCTGGAGTCAACTTTGAGGCCAAAGATTTTCTGCACATTAAAGAGGTGATCGACATCCGTCCCTGCAGAAGCCTCTGGCACACAATTTTCTAGCCGTGCTTTAGATCCCATGCCTCTTACTTCGGGTCTCCATCTATAACTAAGCCCCAAACTCCTCTTACCCTTATACCGGTACACCCTGCTACCCAAGACCTGGTCCCTGGGGTTTCCACCCTTCTGAGATCTGGCTTGGTCCTCAGTCATGTCTTAAAGTGAACTGTGAGATTCGCCCCCTCTGGGGTCCTCTATTATAGCGATGCTGCCCTACTCTGAAATTCTCTGGTTCAACCGTGGCTCCCTCCCCTCCAATACCTCTTGCCCACTGCCCCTAAAGGCCTCTCTAACTCCTTAATATTGAGGCCAGCTCTTCTCACCACCCCTTCCTGCTCCACCCCAACCCCAGAAGTACAGCAATGACTGGTGGATCGGCAGGCTAGTGAAAGAGGGTGGGGACATCGCCTTCATCCCCAGCCCCCAGCGCCTGGAGAGCATCCGCCTCAAACAGGAGCAGAAGGCCAGGTGAGAGCAGGGCTGTGACTCAGTAAACACACTCCAAACACATGCACTTAGCCCAAGTACCCGGTCACTGCTCACACCACACATGCATGCATAACAAACCACCCCCCTGCACAAATACACAGCCAGCATTTAAATATTTACATCTCACAAATCTACAAGCATACACACAAAGGTACACATATCCCACATATCCTGCTCTCAGAAAAGTAGGTGGGAGCAGAGTGTGGTGCTGCATGCCTATAATCCTACTGGGGAGGCTGAGGCAGGAGGGTTGCCAGTTCAAGGCCAGCCTAGACTACTTAGCAAGTCCTAGGTCATCCTGGACTACAGAGGAGACCTGTCTCAAAAAAGAAAAACAAACAAAAGGGGGGGGTGAATTCGTACAACTATTAATTGTTTAAAACTTACACAGAGAAACATCTTCTCCCCCGCTTTTCTCTTTCTCTCTGTCCTTCCCTCCCTTCCTACCCCTCTCTGTCCCTACCCCACCCTCTGTCCTCCCTTCCCTCTCAGGAGATCTGGAAACCCTTCTAGCCTGACTGACATCGGCAATCGTCGTTCTCCTCCTCCCTCTCTAGGTAGCCTTCCTGGACCCATTCACCCTGGCTAGGGGGTAACTAAGACAGGGGCAGGGGGACTGCATGGGAAGGGAATGGTAGAGGGATCTGAAGAGCTGGGAACAACCCAGTGCTCTTCTGGGGAAGGGAATAGCATGCCCCCAGGGCCTTTTCCCAACTTTAATCTTTTATTTCCTTTTCCAAAAAGCCAAGCAGAAGCAAAAGCAGGTGAGTCAAGGAAGGGACTTGGGCTGGGGGGCTCATGGCTCTTGGCTCTGGGGAACTTTTCTAGGCAGTCATTGTTAGAGGGACAGAACAGAGGGGAGGGTACCCAAAACTTCTGATTCTGCCCTCAGCACTCATCAGGCAGGAGGCAGGTACCAGGACCATGAACTTGTCTGACCTGTCCATTCTGTAGGCAGAACATGTCCCCCCATACGATGTGGTGCCCTCCATGCGGCCTGTGGTGCTGGTGGGACCCTCTCTAAAAGGTTACGAGGTGAGACAAGATCCCTGACCCCAAAGAGTCCCCCAAGACAGTGGGAAGAGTCCTCTCCCCACCAGGGTCTGTGGAGGGGTGGGCCCTGGGGCCGTGCATGGGGAGGGGACACTGCCTCTCTCCAGGGCCCTTGGTTAGTGCTGCCCCTCACCCCCACTCCCAGGTCACAGACATGATGCAGAAGGCTCTCTTTGACTTCCTCAAACATCGGTTTGATGGCAGGTAAGCTGCCCCTGGCCTGGCGTGGCCTCAGAACCCCAGATCACTGCCTATTTCCACGTGCCTGAAGCAGGTTCCCTCTACTGGCAGTTAGAGAGCTGGGGAAAGAGGCTGAGACTTAAACACCAGCTCTGATTCTCCACCCCCACCCAGGATCTCCATCACTCGAGTCACAGCTGACCTCTCCCTGGCCAAGCGATCTGTGCTCAACAACCCCGGCAAGAGAACCATCATTGAGCGCTCCTCAGCCCGCTCCAGCATTGGTGAGGAGCCCCTTCTGCTTCTGTGCCCACCCAGGCATTAGTGAGAACCTTCTTTCTCCCTTTTTCCCTTCCCCAGCTCCTTGTCTTTCTGCCCCTCTGCCTGACCCAGGATCTGCAGGAGCCCACCCCCTCTCCTCCATTCCCTGGTCCTCTGCCTGGCCAGGCTTCCAGTTCCTTCCTGTCCACCACTGGGAGCCCTCAAAGCTGTGGGAGTAAGCAGTGGGTGGAGCCCCTGTTGAGCACTGCTGCTCCCCCTCCCTAGCCGAAGTACAGAGTGAGATCGAGCGTATATTCGAGCTGGCCAAATCCTTGCAGCTAGTAGTACTGGATGCGGACACCATCAACCACCCAGCACAGCTGGCCAAGACCTCACTGGCCCCCATCATCGTCTTTGTCAAAGTGTCCTCCCCCAAGGTAAGTCAGCAAGGTGATGGGAGAGGCCTTGGAGGCCTCTAGATGTAGCACACTTATGGTGGCCAGGGCAGTCAGGTTCTCCTTTCTTGCTGCTACTGACGCCATATCACAGGTGGGGTACCTGCCCAGTTCTTTCCAGGCCCAGCTGTGCCTTCCCTCCTTAGGTACTCCAGCGGCTCATCCGCTCCAGGGGGAAGTCACAGATGAAGCACCTGACTGTACAGATGATGGCCTACGATAAACTGGTTCAGTGCCCTCCAGTGAGTGCCTGGCTCAGCTGCTCCTCTCCCTCTTCTTTTGGGGCCGCAGGAGTAGAGAGGGGTGGGAGCTGCTGCTGAGAGGAAGCCAACACTCTCTCTTCACCTTCCTTCCCCAGGAGTCATTTGATGTGATTCTAGATGAGAACCAGCTAGAAGATGCCTGTGAGCACCTGGCTGAGTACCTAGAGGTTTACTGGCGGGCCACCCACCATCCAGCCCCTGGTGCTGGACTTCTGGGCCCTCCCAGTGCCATCCCTGGACTTCAGGTAACCATTTCCAATGGGCACAGGTATGCAAGCTAAGCCAGCCAAATCATGGCTCCTTTCCTTGTCCAGAAGAACATCCTGGCCTGCAGTTTAGAAGGCTGAGGAGTGGTTGACTACCTGGCTACCCTTGCTCTGTGTAGAGAGCTACTGCAGTACATATAGGCAAAGAAATTTCCTGACGAGGGAGTGAATCAATGAGATGAGTAATCAGAGATTGGCTTTCTAGGCATCAAGAGAAACATCTCCAACCCCTTCTGTCAGTCAGTTTGAAGACAGAGCCTGATTTTTTTTTTTTTTTTTGGTTTTTG